CTCCACCTCCCCTTACACCGCCGCCTCCTCGCCTCCTCCCCTCCTGCTCAACCTCTGCTCCTACTATGCATTGCATCGACGCGCCCTAGCCTGCCCCAGCCTGAACCCCCGCAGCACCCGGGAGGAACGACGATGCAGGACATTGGCCTCTAACTGCCCCTAGACCTGCCACCGCGAGCCTGAGTGTATCCTCTCTAAAGGCAGGAATAAACCCATAAAAAAAAGAGGTGCACGCAGGGTGCACGCTTCTGACCCCAAACTCATTGCCACCTCCCCCCCCCGTCGAAGAGCCCCCCTGGGAAAGGATCCTCAGGGGGCCTCTCGGAGATCTTTCGAAGGCCCTCGGCGAGGGGGGCCCTCGGGCACCGCGCAGCGCTCTGGACAACAAGCGGAGCGGGGAGAATATCCCCCCTTCATCATTGTGCCTGAGAGGAGACGGGGGGAGGATGGGGAGCAGGAGGAGAGGCTGGTGGACGAGAATCTCTATTGTTCGTCACCCTCGGCCCCTGCAGGGCTCTCCTGCTGGAGCGGGATGCCGCCACTGGATGCCCGCCTCTATACGGAAGGGCGGCTCCCCGCAATGGGCATGGGTGCTTTGCGGGAACCTGTGCGGGGAGGCTGGGACTGGAGTGGGCATCGCGGATGCATCCTGGACTTAACTCTGGTTCTCCTCCTCATCGTCCCCGTCGGCTACAGGTGTGGCGACGTAAGGGTTGACTCTGCCCCCTGCCCCTCCACACCGTCCTCCTCCCGCTCCTCATGTTCATGGGACGGATCGGACCATGCTCCGTCCCCTCGTCCTCGTCGTCGTCGTCGTCGTCGTCTACGTCGTCGCAGTCGTCGTCGTCGTCGCCGTCTCCTGTTCCCTTCTGAGCCCGTTCGGCGTCTAGGCCCGTTCGGCCTTCGAAGGGCTCACGATCGAAGCCATTCGGCGGCCCACCGCGGTGTCCAGAAATGAACGCATTCGGCTGACAATTCGGCGGCCGCATAAGCTCAAACGAGTGGGTTAAAAAATCACCCTGGGGTCATCCTGGCCGCAAGGTGCCCTGCGCCGACATTGCCTCGCAAAAGTTCTGGCACGATCTATTTCTGGTCGCCGTCTGGCATCTCCGGATCTCTGGAGATCCTTGGTCCTTGGAGGTCCTGGGAAGCCTCTGGAGGTCCCCGCGACCCCATGGTTCTGAGCCCATTCTGCGTCTGAGCCGGTTCGGCCGCCGGACGGGCCCGCGATCGAGCCCACCCGGCGGCCGAACGGGATCAATTCCCACCACGGTATCAGAATTTAGCAAGGGGTCTGGCCCCCTCCTCAAAAATGGCTCCAAACGATGTGCCCTGACCGAAATTCGAAGCTAACCCAGCCGCGTCGACGAATGCGCCCCCGGAAGCACACAACTGGCAGAACATATCCAACAAACTCGGATCTCAAATCTCCCACCTCGGTCCTGGACCATCGGACCTCGATCTTTTGTCCTGGAACCTCGATCCTTCCGGTCTGCTGCGGGTCTGGCAAAACAGAGGGGGGCGGGGGGACGAAAACAATATCATGATACGACTGGCTCAGGATGCGTTCTGCGAAGCCCAGAGCTCCCAGCGGCCCTTTTCCATTCGCACTCGGCCGCGGCCAGTCGTTTCGCGGACGCGCGGAAAATTTGAAGTCATAGAATGGTCATGATGATGGTGGTGATGC